AATTTCCTGAATTTTCGGTTGAATGGTTCGCTTTTCGGAAATTGAACAATTTCCGGATTTTCTGGAACTATTCCTAAGAAATTTCCTTACCATTTGACCCCGTTTCGAAAATTTCGGAATTTTTGGTCGAATGGTAAGCGTCCTATATTTTAGCAAACAGATAAAATTTTTCACCCAGTTACTTTTCGATCGCGGAAATGGGTAACAGTTATTGCTCTCAGGGCTCTAGCTCAGACCGCTCAATCTGGACTACATCGTACTAGTCATTGGGCCACCGTGTCGTAAATCCTCGAATATGCGTCGTATCTGCCACATTAGGGAGTTTAAGAAACCAGGACGCGACGCCGAGGACAACGTCGATTAAAAAATGCTTTTATATTTTACCTGCGAATCTCGCGATACTCTCGAGTCATTTTCCTTTGTTTCTTAGCGTCAAAACTATCACGAAACTGATTCTGGGACAGGGCGAAACATTTGAACTAAGACTGAAAAAATTAGCCGTCGTGGTTCACGTTCTCTGAACAACGTAGAATTTGGTCATTTCACGTTGTTGTTGTTGTGTAGAGGACGGCAAAGAAATGTACCAAGAATTATAACGCACGTGCACAGCCATTGTTCTGCTCATTAAACCTTTTGTTTAGCGACGATCCCGGTGCCGTTGCCCTCGTGGTTTCTTAAACTCCCTAATTTGGAATAAGCGCCACCCTTCCTCCAATTTTTTGACAACAGTTACAAAGTTTAGATTATAGACCATATTTAATCTCTTATGCAGCATTTTCTTTACAATCATTGGTATTTCTGTTCAATTTTCAGATCTATGCGTCTGCAAAGTAAAGTTCCTTTACAGGCAAAATCTTCTTTTTTCAATCCTGTTAGTCTCTCCACAGGCGTTTAGTTTTTGCTGCGAGTTATTTTTCTTCGAGGGCTTGTTCATATTCCACGCACCAGGTTAACATTTTGCTAAGCTTGCGATCTCGAAAAAGCAAAGGATCTGTGGACAGCCTGCCATCGCGTGGCCACATTGTCGCGCTATTTGTGAAAGATGCGAACTTCCAAGCGACTTGTATAAGTGAACGTTTAAATAGTGGTGTGCACGTCGAAACCAGCGTCCCGCCTTATCCTAAACAGGCTAATTTCGATGTATTTAAATTCTAACTTGACGCCGAGGTTTAGGGGAATAACACAAAAGAAATCACATTGAGGATGAGGGAAAAAGCAGTTTAAATCAATAAATGATTATCTAGCTAGGGATCAAAATCTAATTGTTAAATAGTTAATACCAATGTCCTATGAATATTAGCGTCATTACTGGACTCGAAGCTGTACAAATGAACTTCGGCTGACACATTACACGTGCTCAGCCAAAATACAAAAAGGGTCTTGCACGTTAAACTTGCATGATATCGAAGGTATTTCCACATTAAATGTACCGGCGAGAGAATGGTGGAAGGATGGCGATTCCAAGTCTCCCGCTGGAATCGGAGGGAGACCCTCAGGTGTGTGCGGCTCACGATCATTGTGCAAACTCGAATGCCTTCCTTTGGGCTCCGGTTTCAAAGGAATCATTAAAAATGGCAAGCCTTCCTTTGGGTTTGAAGGCAAGACAGTTAGGATGCCAACGTCACGTTGGAGATAGTTGTTTGAGGGCATTCCGTCTTGAAAAAAGGGATATGTTTGATGTCGTCTGTGGCGACGACCATTCTTCCGAGGCACTCCATCCTTAGGCGGTGTCGGCTTCATGGGGAACAATGGGAGAGCCTCTGTTTGAGTCGATTGGACGTGACTTGATGGGCTGACTTTTAGTTCTTCAGTGTGCTTACCCATCAAGGCCAATTCACGATCAGATATTATCTTCTTTTGTTCTGAGATGATCCTTTCAAGTTCAGCGTTTCTCTCGACCATGTCAAATATCGCCTTCTCTTGTTCTGCGATGATCCTTTCAAGTGCAACGGTTTTCTCGGCTATCTGAGTCTTGATAGCTGTAAACAAGGTAAGAAACATTGCCCTTCGGATTAATGAAAAAACATGTTCTTTTTTTTTAAATATACGAGCCTCAAAATAAGTTTTAAAAACTTTATTCATGGTCAAGTTTCAACGGGAGTCGAGCTCACGGACTTTTGCCATAATATGCCTGTAAAACAACGAATATGAGATGATAAATTTAGGACAGGCCATATATTGCACCTTAATTATATGGCTGTCTGCCGAATTCACGAATTTGATTGGCTGAAATCAATATTGACCGCGATCTAGATTTTTCCATCTAGACCCTTCACATTTTGCAGTGAAAAAGTTGCAAACTAAAAACATGAAACACATTATACATTAACTCCATGAAAGTGCCAAAAAGCTTGATGTGAAAAAAAAGTAAACAGGACTTTAGCGGATTTAAGTTCAGCTCATTGCCGTTCGCAAGCAAGATGTAAGCAGCTCGGTCGTGTGTACAGACCTCATTGCGCTCGGTCTGTACTCACGACCTCAGTCAAGATTCTCCCATACAGAATTCCTGGTCGGTTAATAAGAGCTAAATAAGAAAAACCGTCCTGGATTCGAATCCCGGTGGAGAGTATGTTCAAGTGAAAATTTAATATATTCTTAAATTTCTCTTCAAATTTTACTTGTGTCAGAAATGGAACCAAAAAAAAAATGGGAGTACCCACCCGTCATCATTTCCGAGATAAAACTTTGGAAAAATACCCTCATTAACAAAAATTAGCTCACCTGGATTAGCATGGCTTGCAGTGATATTAATTGAAAGAGAAAGTCACTCCAAACAAACGTATATTTTTTGTCAACGCTAATAAAAACCTTGCATTAAGTTTAGTCACTCGCCGAAGTTTCAGCCTCTAAAGTGCAGGTCTACCTTATAAAATTCGTCTGCAAAGAAGCCCAAAATTCGACCTCGTTGCCACCATTTTGAACAGTATTCAGCAGGCAGGCCCGGTTTTCGCGATATCATTCCGTCCAAGAGATTTTGTCCAAATGGTTTGCGACAAGCCTTTCGACTATCACTCTGTGCTATGGCTGCTCTTGAGCCATATTTTAAGCCAAACATGCTCCAAACTCCGACAATGATAGCAGTGAAGATAATGAAGTGGATAGTCACTAGGAAAAAAATACATTTTGCTGACCTGGTGAAGGATGCAAAGTCAGTTGCAGGTTTTTCTCCTTCCCGCCAGTTTCGAGTCAGACGAAATGACGTCACATGAACACGGCCTGGCTACCAAGTAGAGTTTCAAAATGGCGGCCTCTAAAGTCGAATTTTGGGCTTTTTTGGAGACGGATTTCTTTACGATAGCAGGCACTTTAAAGGGTGAAACTTCAATGAGTGGAAAAGCTGAATGTTTACTTGCTATAGGTGAAGACAAAAAAGTAAACTTTTAGGAGTGACCTTAAAAATATTGAAAATTAGTAAACGGAGGTAAACTATATCATACTCGAATTAGTGATCGGATCTACAAGGGGGTTGCATGTCACCCCTCCCCCTATAAGGCTTTTTCAAAGTTTTGAAAACGCGATTTACTCTAATAGGTTGAAACTTTCAGAAGCTGTTACGTTCATTCATTCCCTGCCGAAATTTTGATATGTCAATTGTGCGTCCATCATTTTTGGCGCTGTCATTTCATATTGCTGGTTTTCAGTGTCACGCGATTCAAAATAGATCAAAATAAAAATCAAAACGGGTCAATAGATGAGGTCCAGAATCTG